CGCACTTCCTAAATTTCCTGTATATTATGCAGTAATATCTATCCCACGTCTAAAAGTCGTAATTCAACAACGTTTTATTTCGCTTTTTTTCAATCATCACTCTAAGAAATAATCTACAATCATATTTAGGTATTCTAGTTGGGCCAGGATATGTTTAGTAGTTCTCATGTCAAAATGCGGATTAGAATATCCAAGGTTCGAGCACGATAACGCATTAGATACATTAATCATTTTCAATTGGAGGGGGTGTGGTTGAGAGTGGGTGGAAGGGTTGCTATAACTCTGACACTCAAGCTCGCTATTCGTTTAAGAGTAGTCACATATGTAGGCGGAGGATGGTGCTAACTGGTTGTCCCCCACTTTGGTCAGTTGATTTAATTCAAGACTAACCCATGTGCCGCACACAATGCTATTTTGTTGTGTTTTTTTTTTTATTCTAACTAACAACTCGGTAATCTAGTTTAGTTAAAAGTCCAACACTGTTCAACGTAAATTTAAAACATTGTAAAATATGAACTTCTAGCTTGAGCCTTTTTCAACTGTTATAAAATTACACACACACACACTATATTGCAATAAATTTCATTACTATAGGTATTCAAAAATGTGTTATTTTTTATATTACGACTTTTTTTAGCGTTAAAGGAATGTTTTTAAAGCATAAATATGTTAATGTTCATTGAAATCCAAGAAACTTTATTCTTTCATTTGTGAAAATGTTTTCAAGAAATAAAAGTGAGAAACCATTTTCATTAAAATTTTTTAATTACAAAATTGCGCCATCTATTGAATGACACCACAAACAAAAATCCATAAAAAATTTCCCACTTTGAGTATTCAAGATTCAGATAGTTAGAAAATTAACTACGGTATGTGCAACCACCTTAAGGCGCTCGACTCGCAATCTGAGGGTCGCGGGTTCGAATCCCCGTCACACCAAACATGCTCGTCCTTTCAAAGAGGGAGGCTGTCAAGTGGGTTGCATCCTTGACGTAAGAGACAGCTTTAGAAACGATGGCAGAGCAAGATCTGCCATCGGCTCAACGGTCCGCAAGGACTATGAGAAATAATAAAGAATAATATTGTTGTAAGGAGGTTTTATGGAATGCATTATCACAAATTAAAACGGCATTTTATGTCTGTGGTGAAATGCCTTGCTAATTTTAATTATATAAAATGATTAGCACAATAAGAATTCAATATTTTAGGAAATGTTATGCCGTTTAGTACACACACACACATACATACATACATTTATAACTAATGCTTATATTGTGAACAACAGCGACCTTTCACCGATTGTTTAACTGGGCTAAGATCGCTAGATTAGTTAGATTAAGAAAATAAGTTAATACTGGTTACATCTCACCAAACTTGATTTTAACTGGTTACATTTCTTTGAAAAATGATTCATTGACATTTATTAGTCGAATAAACTTCGCAAAAACAATGATATTGCTTAAACTTCTCTTTGGCGCTTGATTTGTTTCTGAATTTCGCGCAAAGCTACACGAGGGCTATCTGCGCTAGCCATCCCTAATTTAGCAGTGTAAGACTAGAGGAAAGGCAGCTAGTTACCACCATCCGCCAACTCTTGGACTACTCTTTTACCAACGAATAGTGGGATTGCTCGTCACTTATAACGCCCACACAGCTGAAAGGGCGAGCATGTTTGGTGTGACGGGGATTCGAGCCCGCAGATTGCGAGTCGAGCTCCCTAACCACCTGGCCATGCCGGGCCTTGGCGCTTGAACTCTCAACTTGCATATTTTGCTTCTGTTTACTATATTTTTTATAACAAGGAATTGTTAATTTATCATGAAAATTAAAGGGAAAATTCGATCCAAAATTTAGAAACTCAACGTAGATTGAGAGAGTTGATATAGTGTCAGGTGTAACTGAATGTAGTATTCAAATTCAGTTTCATAAGTTGAATGCAGGTTTTCTTTAAATATATTGAGTCTTAGCATCAGTGACACTGCATATATACAATCTTGAAATTGGAATTGGTAAATACACCATGACAATTCTTGTTATGAATTTGGTGGGCCAAAATAAATCGCTTCTCTTTTGGGTGTTTTTTGTTGAGTCTATCGGCCATACCACCACACAAAACTTCAAATACTGGTAAACATGCAAGTTTTTTATTGTCGGAACGGACCATTATATCAAGTTATAATTGAAGCTGAGCAAGAACGTGGGAGGACAATTAGAGAAGAGCAGATAATCCGAGAAGAAACATAGAAACTGGGATTTTTGACTTACTTACTGGGAGTCAATTCTCGAAGTTTCAAATATATATATATATATACACGAGCAGAAAGGTATCGAAAAGTCGATGCCACACATACAAGAATAGGAGAAACAGAATGGTATACTACACAAGATCGTTTAAATAATTTGAAGTGTAAGAATTATATCTTGTAAAATGAAATAACTACTGATATTTAAAAAACAAAAAGCACTTCTGAAAGTAGCCTGTAGCTTATACTTAAGCGCATTTTCTTTTCCCAAGTAACAACTATGAACACCAATAAATAAAAAAGTAAAACAAGAGGGAATCTTCAATAGCCGCGGCTATAATTACATCTCAAATCGGTCAAGAGATGGAGCTATGAGCTAAAAATTTGTACTTGAAAAAAAAAAAAAACTCAGAGCCATTCTACGAGCTGCTATGCCGCGACTAAATAACACAAACAAAATGAATGTTTAGGCATGTCGAATTGTAACACTGGAAGAATGTTAAGTTTGTATACATTATTCAATTGGAAAAAATATTATTTTCAATAAAATATCTGAAATGCCTACGTTCTTAATGAAATTCATAATAATCATTAACAGCATTATAAGCATGTTGCGTCAAAATACTAAGTGGTTTCAAAAATAAAATGAATAATTCTGCTGAAAAATAAAATAAAACCAGGAAAACTAAAAGTAGTTAAGGTAAACAAAAATAAAGAGGTTGTTTGTTTGAAGTTAAGCACAAAGCTACACAATAGGTTATCTGTGCTCTGGTCGCCACGGGTAACGAAACACGGTTTCTAGCGTTGCAAGTCCGCAGACATACCGCTGTGCCATTGGAGGGCAAAATAAAAATCAGATGCTCAAATTTTTAATAATTACTTTAAAAAAGTAAAAAAAAATTATTCTGAAATTTTCGCTAGTGGCTTATCAGTAATCTTGATATAAAATATAGCTGGTAAGTGTTGCTATTTCTCTCAGTTTCTGTAAAAGAAGATCTGAAAAGTGTACTTAAATGATTGTTTCTACCATTAGCGATAACTACTTATCGTAAAGGACAAAAGGTCGTGTGCACATTGTTCTTCTAACAGTCACACATAATTTTGTCTTGGATTCTTGGAGCTGACTCACAACTGTGGTATGTATCATGGCTAAAGTTGTTTGAAGAAAAATTATCTAACCAAGTCCGAAAATGGATGCTGTATATAATCTATAGTATTCATCGCAGACGTTTTGTATCCGTACATATTTGAAGTTCGTCTTATGCATGTTATACGTTCTGTTATAGTTTTATATCAAATAGGTTACATTTTAACATAATAACATTTTATTGATTTTAAATGTATTTCGTTCTTTATGTCAAAAAGGATATAATTACCATTTGTCTCACCGGTCTATTGTTTCGTACTTCAAAATGACTGCTCTACAGAAAACCACAGAAGTTTAGGTGTCCAATCTAATGTTACAGCTAAAATGGTAAGTGTTGCTAATTCGATTAGTTATATAATAGAAAAATTTCCTTAAGTAATTGAATTTCCATCTACAGTAATTCGTACGTTTACTGTATTTAGTTGGAGCAAAATGATTTACTAGAGAGTTTAATAACTAGAGGGTAAAAATCAGGCATAAGAATGAAAATAGACCATGATAAATTGAATACTGTCTTACTACTTACTTTTTGGACGTACTATATTACTTTTATATATGAATATTTAGAGTTTGAATGTTAACATGTAAAACAGTCCCTTTCAGGACTAAGTATTTATAAGATAGTCATATAAATAAACCATACAGTTAAATTGTACTACAGTACAGTTAGTGATATATATGTAGAGTTTGAACATTTTACATACAAGGCGAGACTATTTAGATTGTTAAATTGCATATAAGAATGTGTGAGCATTCTATGCAAAACATACCCTTATACACGTTCATAAACTATAATAAACAGATAAGCAAAAAATATAACATAAAAATATTCAGTATGACGTAATCACATGTTGAGACTTTTTGATATTTGCTGATCTACAACACCCTCTGGTGATTGACTCGCAAATCATGTAACAGCCCACGCACATAGATGACCTCATCGTTCTATATTTTGGAACTAACAGACCCCATTTTCTGCCCTAACAACTCGCCATCTGCTGTCACACAATGGAACTATCCCCACCCTAGCAACAAGCCCTGTACCATTTCGTAAAACTATGAAGTTACGTGACCTTTCATCACTTTTGGTATCAAGTTCTTCTCTTTCTGTCCTATTGTCTGAGGCAGCCAATCAGCGTAAGGCGGCAACCTTTGTGTAATAATGGACTGTTTAACTGCTGATCCTTATTTTTTTGCATTCATATTCTTGAAGGCGTATTTAACATTAATACAGTCCTTTCTGGAGAATATAGTAATTGAGGATCAAACTTCTGGTGAAGGTTCACGAACTTAAAGATTTTTAATTAATACGTTATTGTTTATTTTTAATAACAAAACTACACAACGGGCTA